GAATTTCATGGAGTGTTCTAGTTAGAACTCGTCTTTCCATAGTTAAAAGGAGGCAAAAAATGTGGTTTTAACCATTCAGTCAACACATTCATGCCATATAGAATGTAATAGCTCTTCTTCATTGTTCTCTAAACCAAACTGTGCTTGACCTCAAAACACTTGGTAGGCAGATGGTTTGCGTTTTTTCTCTTGAAAGATTTGCATGAAGATACTGCCCTTGAAATGTTTGGGATTTTTTAAATGCCTTTCTGCTTTGAACTGGGCACATGACAGAGAATGACTAATGCTAATTAAGCTTCAGTCTAGAGCTGTTTAGATAGTACTGGAGATTTCAGGAGAATTTATATAAGCCAGGTTACTGCTTTATGTTCCACAAGCATTAGGTGAAGATCATCAGCAATATATATGTATGTTAAAAGTTCATTTAAAAAAATTCTCTCAAAATGTTTTAAGTCATTAAGACATAGCCTTACAGGATCATAGGCATCACTCATTAAAATGTCATGCACTTACAAATAAATATCTCTGTAAAGAAACTCTACAAGCTCTTGGAAATTCTAAATTGGGAAAGAAGTATTCTGCAGAGCTGATTTCTTACCATATAAAGATAGATTTCCTGTCTTTTATTTTGTGGTCACTTTACTTCTTTCTTTTAGTATTACAGAAAAGCAAAATGCACAGGACTTACTATATCCTCACATATCAGAAGAATTTTAGTATTTCCAGTTCACTTCTTAATTCATGTAGGGATAAGAAAAACTGAACAGTATTTCTGAATATTTTTATTGTGAATTGGTTATAATGTGCTTTGCCACTTCAGTGGAGTAGTTTTTGCGGCCATTCAAAGACAGCCTTGCATTAGCTGCTTGAAACAAATGTTTTCTCTTGGCATGGGTCAGGTGATACTTTGCAAGGAAAAAGATGATTGTTAAAGAGGTGCTTTGGGGTCCGTAGCTGTTCTATGTGACTGGGGGTGTTCAGCATACTTTTTATATTGTTACTACTGGTGCCTTTGTAAGTTGGAACGTACCATCTTTTTTGTGCCGTCTCTGGACTTTAGTGTAAGCTCTTGTTAGGGAAATTGTCTTCCACATGCTGCTGTTAAGCAGATAAAGTGTGTACATCTTATTGATGTTATATTGAGAGTTACAGCATTGTGTAGTATATGGTCTTCAAGTGTGGAACTAGTTTCCTAAGGTATAAAATCTGCATTTGCTTGGATTTTTGTTACTGTTTATAAGTAATATCTGTAATTGTTTTAGCAGTTACTTTAAAACATTACGTTGTTTTAGATGCTTTTTATAATAAATGGGGAGAAAAAGTAGTTTGGAACAGTTGTGATGTGCTACACCGTCCTGAGGATGATAGTCATCCTCATTTTTCCCTTACTGAAAGGGGATCAGGCAGTGAAATTTGGGCGAGTGCTGGGGGAGCATGCAAGTGTGTGTGTTTAACAACGCAACGGCTAAATCAAGCTGTCTTGCTGTTAAGTGTGCATGAACTGCTTAAATTGGCTTCCTGAATTTTCTTGATTTCAAAATCATCACTGAAGATTTCAAGGATTATGAGTGTACTCTTTACATATATCTTGATAGCTCGAAGGAAGATGCTGTCCCAAGTGATAAATAAGAAAGTGCCACTGTTGACATCTGGAACAGCCCCCCTGCCCCCATTAGCTACAGCTTCAGACTCTGCATGTTAGTGAACTGGCATGTAAGGCTTAATTTTTGAAACTCACACATTTCAGATGTCACTACAGCTGAAAACATAGGTTCCTGAGGATTTGATACGAGCTTGAGTATTGTAAACATAAGATGTAGTATTATTTTAATTCTGCATTTCTATAAGTTTGTATATGTCCTCTTGAATTTTCCAATGAAAATGAAAAGACTAAAATATTTATGAAGACTTTGAAGGTTATGCTACTTCTAGTACTCGACTCTTGTGTGATGCTACTACTATCATGAAAGTTTTGAACATATACGCTCCAAAGCCATGCTTGGAACATACACATAGAGTTAAATTTAAAAAAACTGGATTCTTTAGACATAAAGACAAACTCAAATATTTCTCTGTAGATGCTGATTTAAGAATCCATAGTTGAAATTCTGGGCATGTTGGTACATAAACATCAGACATTAGTTAGTTACACATGTGTCAGTCCAGCAGTCTGACCAGGTTCTTTTAGACTTTGTGGGCGAGAAGGGTTTAATGTTTTGATACCAATTGAAGATATCTGACGTTAACATGGGGTTCTGTTTTAGCAGAGACAATACACTGAAATTACAATGCAATAGTAATATAGCAATTGCTTGATGACAGTGGCTGTCAGAGTGGCCCCTGGGTGGTGTGAGCCACCTCACTGCATTTTGTTCAGAGCCCTGTAAAATCCCACATGGTTGGCCCATCAGTGACCAAACTTGGGAGACTTGGCGGCTGCCTGTCCTGACCTACAGGCTCGGATCTGTCCGGCATATCTGAGATAACCAGATTCCAGCATGGTGGTTTGCAGTTCTTGTACTCTCCCACCACCATCTCCCTTGCCTGTTGCCCATAGCTCCCTGATGGCTAGCAGGGAGCTGCCTGGCCCAGGAGACAGCACAGCCACAGTAAGTTTGCCTGTTACAGTGCAGAACCCCGAGTCCTTCGTACTAAACCGTGAGCCTCCTCCATGGTGAGGATAACCTGATTCACTCCTTTTCCCCATAAACAGGTCATCTATTCTAGGAGTGTATCTCTTGGTTTAGCTGAAAATGTAGTTTGGAGATGAGTTAACTAACTCGTAAGAAGATAAAAATGTCTTGTAAGGGGGGATGCATCTGGTGTTTGCAACCACTTTAAAGTTATGTTCATGTGAATAATTATCACACACTCACCCACCCACCCACCCACACACACACCCAGGTGAGAGAGGGAGAGAGAATCAGGGGAAGTAAAACCCAAGAAAGACAAGTGATGCATATGAAAGCAGTTGCTCACCCCCAACTGCCCAATGCCCAGCTAGTCCCAAGGCAGCGGGCCCCCACCCCAACCCTGCCCCTTTTGTCACTATCCGTGATATCATATGGTGTGGAATATTCCTTCGGTCAGTTGAGGTCGGCTGCCCCAGCTATATTCCCTCCCAACTTTTTGTGCACTGCCAGCCTACTTGCTGGCAGGGTGGTTTGAGGAGCAGAAGAGGCCTTGATGCTGTGCAAACACTGCTCAGCAGTGACTAAAACATCCCTGTGTTATCCAACACTATTTTCAGCACAAATCCAAAACGTAGACCCAAAACAAGCCACTATGATGGAGTTTAACTCTAGCCCAGCTCAGATCAGTAAAATGAGGAAGGCTGAGAGAATCAGGATCAAGCCAGACATCTCTTGGCCCTTTATCTTCAGCGTATATAGCAGCCATTCCTTTAACAGGGTCTGTTTGAAGTTGACCATAGTAAATGATCCCTATGTATGTGGGCATTGGCTATGATCTGAAGCTGTAGTTTTCATTCTGAGAACTTTGATTTTTCTAGCTCTGCACATCACCTTTTTATACATCATGTTATCTTTTGAAACTCTTTTCTGTCATCTTCTTGCATATCCCCTCTGCTGACTTCTTCACTACTGCTCACAAGAAGGCTTCTAACAACCAGCAGCACAAGCCTGCTTTCCCCTTTCCTCTCTCCAGCTTATTAGGAGCTTTCTGTTTTTCATAAGCATCCCAAATATCACTGGGATCTGGGCAATGTTCTTCTATCCGTGAAAAATCACACTTAGGATTTCTCTATTCTTTTTCAAATTTATCATCTAGCTTTTTCCAGCCTTTGTTAGCACTCACATTTTACTGTCTAAATAGTAAGGGGCCTGTCTGCAGTCAGTCTTTTCACTAACCTTCCTTACAGCTTGAGTCACCTCTTTTAGGCTCTTATTCATGACTCAAGTGCTAAATCAGAATTCCCAGTATTATTGAACTGTTATCACATAACATTCACCCTATCATGTCACAGACTATGGTAGCTATGATGCCAGTTAGTGTCAAGACTCCCCCACTCTCTGACCAGATTCTCTTACATATTGCACATAAGGAGCTCGAGTTTAGTGTTTGTAATACTTTTTTTTGACATTGCACTAGTTTTTGATTTAGCAGAATGTTTAGCAGAACCATAAATTCATCAGTATGTACCAGAATATAGTAATTGCAATATACAATTGCATCTCAATATAAACTTGATTCTGTTTACTGATCTCTGGAACATGCTCACTGTTGCAGCACTGAGTGCACCCAGTTGCTGGGAAGGAATACATGGGTTGAAGCCAGCTCAAACCTGTTGCTCTTCTGAAAGCTCTTTTTGTTCATTGTTTCTTTTTATGTGCTCTGTTAGGCTGAGCTGTGTATATACTTCCCCAGTCCTGGTCTGGCTGACTCAGGGAGATGTGTATTTGAATCCTTTTGATTAACTCAAGGATGAAAACTTACACAGCCAGTCCATTTGCTTAACTGTTGTAGCTGATCATCTCGACTGTTACAGCCACTTTCCTAGAACAAAGACCACACGTGCTCCTGTTGTGTTAAGCTTAGCTTGCTTTTTAATAGTTGGCATCAGTCACTCCTTGTGTTCATCCCTGAACTTCTGTATTGGGTTTGCGTGGCAAGGTTTTGGTAGCAGGGGGGCTATAGGGATAGCTTCTGTAAGAACTGCTAGAAACTTCCCATGTCTAACAGAGCTGATGCCAGCTGGCATCAAGGTGCACCTGCCACTGGCCAACTGATGATGGGGAGTGATAGAGCAGCTTTGGTGGACACCTGCTGTCCAACCAGGGTCAGCCCACCACAGTTTCCCATGCATGTGGGCTATGTCTAGCTCTGCAGAGCCTTCTCCCGTTGTAGCCATTTATAGATTCGTCATAACATGAAACTTTTGGATTCTTTGTATTTTGACATTCAAAAAGAAGACTTTTGTGCGAGATGACTTTTTTGTCATACAAACTTTTTCAATAATTGCAACATCATTTATATTGTAGGTCATGCAGGAGTGTCTGCCAGCATGATGAAGAAAAGAACTTCCCACAAGTAAGTTGTTAATATTTTTACTGAAGCGTAGCTCTCGGTAACTGGAAGTACTGTTCTAGGAATACGTTGTATTGTTCTATGCACTTCGTTCTTGAAAATCATGTGGAATAATATTCAGTCGGTATATGTGTATAGAGTCAAGACTTTCAGTTCTTTCAGGAGAGTGGTATGAAAGAATGTCTCACAAATAAACTTTTAAACATTGATTTGACTGTTGATATGAAATTATTTTTGAATACAATTTCATAATTCTTTCTGGAATTCAGAGAGAAGGGGTTGCAAGCCAGAAATTAGCCGCATGTGCTATAGGATATCTGTTCTCTGGGACAGAATTCATGCATTGTCAGCAGGCCAATAAAAACTGCAAAGCGTGCTTACTGATAATGCAGTCTGGAAGTAATCTTAGAAATATCTAATCTTGTATTCACTACAGCTGTAGTTTTGAAAGGGAATTTTCACTTTTCTAAATTAAAGAATATACTGAAATACTTCTGTAAGGAGGCTGCTATTTCTGTGTGAAGGATACCTGCTTATCCTACGCATTTATGGCATGTATTTTTCCCTCTACAACATTTTAAAATAGTAGCAGCTGAACACTGGTGAGTAGGTGTGTGAAAATAGAGGTAATGTTCTGGACATAATTGATCTTAGTGTCAAACAGCAAGATACTTTATCTGGCTACATCTCTGGTGGGAGAAATCAAATGTGGGTAAGTGTGAAATTTGGTAAAATGTTACTGGTTGTGTTTTAAATGTAAAGTCATACAGTAGTGCATCAA